CATCGAACCCGATGTCTAAAAGAAAAATCGTGGCGATTCTTTATCATAAATGGACATGGAAATAAATGTAAAGAAATTGGTAACAAAATGAGTTTGTGAATATATCTTAGTAAGTTGTGCTAATGTTTTATAAATAAATGTCGATTAATGGTCATGGTTATTTGTGTAGACATAAAAAATGGTACAATTTAATTTTTAAATAATTTACTTGAATGATTTTCTACGTACAGTCTTTTATTTTTAAAACTTATTTATACCTTTTAGGCCTATATGTACATTTGGGATGAAAACTAAGCTTTTTTCAATATTTTAAAATGCTGATAATTTGTAGTTAAATGTGCACATCCAATTCAATATCTTATCCGTATAAGTATAATAAGTAATGATATAGCTCAAAATATATTAAAATAAAGATTCTAACATGTAAAGAGAAAATGCTAGTGAGCACCTGCATGTAGTACATAATGATGATGTAAAATCCAATCTGTGACGACATTTCTATTGTTTGAGCGCTCCATTACTTTTCAGGAATGGAGAGTTTCAAATTACAATGAAAACGGGACTTTTTTTATGTTCTTATTTTCCTTCCCATGCCTCTACCAAGGAATAAGAAAACTTTTGAGAAAAGTTTAAGAAAATTCAAGTCTTTTTCACATTAATAAATTTATAGTACCCATGCTGTGAATCGATCCCGGTACCTCTCATTTAGAGTCGAGTACTCACTTTACTTAGCTATCGACGCTGTTGAGATGCATCGGATTAGATTAATGTCAGTACACTTTTTTCGCTTTTCTTTCTATAGTATATATAAATTATATATTACATATATATAATGTATATTCAAAGTGTATCATATAAATATTTCTATTATGTATTAACAACAATTAAATACAAGCATTTAAAGAAGCGGATTTTACGCCGGTTAATATACTCGTAGCACTCCATACCTTAAAAGTAAAATCCACCTGTGACGTTATGGTCTTATTCTCCTTTCCGTGCCTCTACCAAGGAAAGAACTTAGAAAATTTTAGAGAAGAGTTTTGGAAAATTTTAAAGGTTAGTTTCACATTAAGAAAATTAGATCACCCATGATGAGAATCGAACACGGAGCCCTCACCATAGCAGTCCGATGCTCATTTCACTGAGCTAACGAAGCTGTTGATAAACATGGGTTTAGATTAAATTCAGTACACTTTTTTTAGTTTTTCTTTCTATATTATATATATATATACTACTACTAATATGTAAAAGGTATTAACAATGTATCATATAAATATTCTTTATTTAAGAAATAAATAACAAGTTTATAAACTTCAATGGGAATTGAAGTGGGTCGGTCACGTGATCAAATCCTGTGAAGGCCGAAGGCCTTCTCAGAAGATTTGATCACGTACCGACCCACTTCAATTCCCATTGAAGTTTATAAACTTGTTATTTATTACTTATATATACATTTGAGACAGACAATTGAATATTTTCGAATTTAAATTATTGCACTAACCGTCCATCGTAGATTTTGAAAAATGACGCAAGGTGTAAATCGGCTTGCATGGCGGTTACGCTTCGAATTCATCAGACTTAGGAATCTATTTCGAAGGGAATATTTTGTGAAAGGCTACTTGTGATCAGTAATAGTGAACAGATTGTTGTCTGGGAATATTTTATTCGTGAAAAACGATAATCGATGCTGAAAAGACACAAGAAACACGTCCGACGTTTGATGATAAAATGTTTGAGGAATTTCGGTCGCTGGAAAGTGATGGATGGATCCGATGGACTGAGACACTTGTCCGTGCCAGTTAATTTGCAATTTGATTAAAAACATTCCACGGTTTCAGTAACTAAAGGCATACTTATCGTAAAACACTGATAAACACGGATACACTGGCGACAGCTTTACATTGAACTACGAAAACACCGAGGTGTTTGGCAGCTGTTCATGGTATGATTGCAAAGATATTTTCCAACAGATTTACACATTTATCGTGAGTAAAATTTAAAGATAAAATAAAAGTTTATCATGAAAATTTAACCACAGGTCTATCCAAAAAATAAGGATGAACGTAGAGACTGTGCAGCTGACAAAAGTGAAGAAAAATGTAAACAAATGCTAGGCTCCTAGTTTTCTCTATGTACACAGGTTGAATCGATAGCCCAAAAACTGTATGAAATACTTGTTTACATTTAAAATAAAATAATGATCATTTTACTTGCTTATTTTATTCATTTTTATACATGAAAAGCAAGTAGAGCATAATTTATGTGCCTGTAGATATTATTGCGCCGTGTGATTAGGTCACGTATTGACCTCTGACCTCTGACAAACTTCATACAGAATTGAAGATATTTTCTCTCTGTATGTTTATATAATGGAGAGATACCACAAATGTATATGTTATGTATTAACAAACAATAAAAACAAGCATTCAGAAAGGCGGATTTTACGCGGGTTAATATACTTGTAGCGCTCCATTCCTTGGGTCTCGGCCTCTTTGGGGCCTCGGCTCCATTACCTTTAAGGAATGGAGCGCTACTCGTACATTAACCCTTACGTATTCGGCCTCGGCTCCATTACTTTTAAGGAATGGATCGCTACATTAACCCTTACGTTAAACATGATACAACAGAATAAACTTGCTTTATAACATGTAAGAAGAAGAGGCCTTTCATGAAATTGATTTTTGTAGAAGTAAAAAAAAAATCCCAAAATTGTTTTTCTTATAATTATCTATTTCTGTTCCTACACTGATTGCAGGACTTTGAAGTATTTCGTCATGCAATATTCCTGTGTAATAAATTTTCAATAGAATCTGAAAGATAGTTTTTGGAATAGTTCTGTTAGCAGTAAAAAAAAAATTCCCCCGCGCTTGCGTGGGATTTCAGCTAGTTATATTGAAGATATTAACCAAATTAAAGTACTTAATAAGAGCACTAGGTCTTAATCACGTTGAAACTAAATGTCTTATAAAAGGTCCTAAATTCAGGAAGCTACGGTCTTTTATACAATTTCATTTGTTCAACTAAAATTTTGTTGTCTGTCGTCGTTATCGTAAAATTCTTGCATTTTGATCTTTATAATAACATGGTAATTTTGAGATTTTTTTTTTTATTAAAGCTGAACACAACTCGTAAATAGGACATTTTCGATATCATGATCTACAAAACATCCTCTTCGCATTCGTTACACCTGACTGCTTTATTGTCACGGGTATCGGCGTGGAATGGTGACCCGTGTTTGTGCTGGTTATCTTTACATTTTATTGCAGTTACGTGCGTCTGTGTTTGTTTGTACACTGAACTGATCTGTACAACTATAATTGTAAGATTATTTGGTATCATATTTTCCTGCATTAGACGAAGTATCAGGGGTTTTTTTCGCTGCCGAGTGCTGTATACCATACGTTCGTCTACACCGGTGTCGACTGATTACAAGTACAATGAACGGTATCTAAGTCAAGCACCATATATAGTAGACTTAAGAATAAGCGAGAATCCGAACAAAGATGGCGGACACATACCTCTTACGAATCGTGTTCAGCTTTAAGAAAGAGAAATTGTGCGTGGTCATTTATATTTATAATCACAAGCCAGATTAGAAGACGTGCAAGTCAAGGTTTTCTGAGGAATTGTAGAACTGAGTTTGTTTAAATCTTGACCCCAGAGGGCAGCATTGAAACACTATAGCGATCATTGTTTAACTACAAAAATGTTTGAATTTTTTCTTCAGAAGAACAGCATGATTTAGGTCTGTTCGACTCATGAACTCAGGCATCCGGTTCAAGAAATTTATTCCCGTTGACAAACAAATATTTTATACTTATACAATATAAATACACTTTAAAAAACGTGTCATTGTTACAAATATGTTACATACTGGAACACAAAACAACAAAAACCCATTTGATCGTAATTTTTTTTTTTTTTACATACGGTGGTATTATGGTACTCCGATCCTCAGCCAGGAAGGATAACTCTAAATTTATAATTTAAATTCAAAAAAATCAAAAGGAAGCTTGAAAATTAAATCTTTTCATGTAACAATTTTCATTTTATACCTATCAATAGGCTTCAAGGTACCTTGAAGTTCTCAGAAAGGTCTTATAAAAAGTCGAATTTTACCAAATGCCATAGATACCAATGTTTATTAACATGATATGAAATTAAGTGTTTAATAATGATGTTTTGCAATGGTAGAAAAATCTTTATACACTATGCATTGTAGAGTGATCAAAGTAAATAGATGAAATAAAAGTACCTTCTATGTACATGTATAAGAATTTGCAATTTCAAAGCCTGGATACCTCTGATTTTTATTTCTAAAATGTGTTTGTCGATCAAATTTATATTGGAAAATGCATAGTACATGTAGGTGTTTTTATTCGCATTTCCTGAAAATTTATTTGAGATTTACTAATTCTCCCTATATAATATGATTAACTTTACAGATGATGTTTGAAGAATTACCGTGGGTAAAACATGTTACTTTAAGAATTCAGAGACATTTTTGTGAGCATTTTCATTAAGTCAATGGCTGATTTTCAGAACCCGAAGATCGAAGTACCTTAAAGATTTTTTTTTTATTTAAAGTTAAATATTCATTCTATTTGCAGAGACAGCCTTTAGTATCAAAATTGGAACAGAGTCATGAAGTGTTAAAATTCACAATTGAAGAGGAAGCAAAACAGAACGGTATTGTCTCTTAATTTACAAACCAATAAGTGTTCATCGAAATATATCCAGCTGTCGTTGGATTTCCATCGGTATTGTAATTATTGTCATATACTGATAAAGCTACCTATTGTAGGGTCGTAATTGTAATACTGCAGGGATATGAGAAAACGTTGAAAGTGAAAATGAGTTATTAATGAACCTTCACAGCGTTCCCTATTACTAATGGATTCCTGAGTTTGTATGTACTGCAAAACCTCGGACAACAAAAACGCCTGATTTCTTTTCCATTCCACTTTTGAGAAATAACCGTTTAGGAGAAAAATACGAAAATGACACATTTAAATACCTCAACTTACTTGACTAATATTTACGAAGCATTCACCAACCTCGACTTCAACGGATCGTCAAACGATAGTTTTCAAGCCACAGGTCCTTCCAGTACTGCTTTATATATGGGCGGTATTGTGATGCTCGTTGCTTTGTTATGGGGCTTGTTTGCCAATATACTTATTTTAGCAGTCATCTTTTCCAAGAGAGATTTGAGTAACATTATTAATATTTTCATCATTAGTCTCTGCATCAACGATATAATAAACCTCGGATTCAATAACAATCTTGTGATGTTATCGTATTTTCTGGGAAGATTTCCTACAGGTATATTAGGATGTGAACTGGCAACGCACTTTACTGTTTTGTTTATGGGGTCATCCTTATGGCATACAGGGCTTATTGCAATACATCGCCTGATAGTGGTCGTATTTAACAACTTCTACAAGAAAATCTCAAAGAAGGCCTATACTTGCTTCGTACTTGTATTTGCAAGAGTTATTCCCCTCCTATTTCTAGCACAGCCTTCTCTTGGTCAAATGGCGTATTATGAAGCAAGATTACTGAGGTGCATCGTTAAGAAGAACTATGGTCCGTATAATCTTCTCGTCATTGTATTTCTTATGATCCTCCCATCCATCATTCTTGTTGTCTGTTATATAGCTATTTTTATCAAGGTTTACCAATCATCAAGAGCATTTAGAGCTTCGCGCCAAAAAGAGTGGCTAAAGCGAGAAATCAAGATCACCAAGATGTTTGGAATGGTGTTTCTTTTGATAGTTATTGCATACCTGCCTTATGGAATAGTGAGATCCATCGACAAACAGTTACAATTAAGTGCCGATTTCTATGTGGCGATTACAGTTTTCTTTGCAATAGGTAATTGTTGTAATCCTATAGTTTATGGGGCAATGGATAAATCTATTCGCCTTGAGTGCTTCAAAATCTTTCATCTGACTAAAGACCAAGAGAAGGAAAATGGAAATGGTCATACAATTATTGCTCAAACCACTCAAATGGTCGTCGATCAAGAAGATAATGAAGAAATTCCTCTTAATACATCAACTAAGAACACACAAACCGTGGACAACTTTATAAAATGAACTAATTTGTGAGTGTAAGCGCCTGTGTAACCGTTAGTGACACTCAACCTAAAAATATTATGAACGAACTGTATTCAATAATTTTCAGATTAAAATGATATTTGTCTAAGATTTTTTGTATTCAGTGTTATAATTATTAAAAATGAAAACCTTAAATTTAGTTTTATGCTATCTCCTGCAACGCTGTTCGATGGAAATTTTCAATGGAATATATATCTTTTTTGGCCATGAAAGCAGCAATATTTTATAAAGACTACTTAGAATGATGTGTCTGCATCCTCAGAAACACCGAGGCCCCTTTATAGCAGTTCATGGCGAGGGTTATAGTTTCAGAAATTAAAATAAACTCCAACGAAAAAAGTGCTTTCAAAGAAAGTTTTCTGATTGTTTTGTAAAGTCTCTTTTAAAAATTCCCCTTATAAACATGTACAGTAGCGTTGCAAAAAGAGGGCTTACAAAGCGAGGACTCGCCCCCGCAACAATATTTTTTCAAGTCACTGGAAAAAGTTGATTTTTCTTTAAATATGTGAATTAATCTTTTTTTTTTATTTCCAAATACCATTAAGGCTGTTTAAAATTAATTCTATGTTTAATGTCACCCGCGCGCGTAGGTTTTGGAGAAGATCGTCTTTGAAAAAAACAAACAATTCGGAATTCCATATGTCCGTTCCGGTTTGGTTCTACATTTAGCGACTCAATTCTGCATCCCGTAGTGACAGAAAATGTGCTTAGATGCCTCAGTAGATGGTGTTTGTGTTTTATTAAATGAATAGGAGTGAATTAAACAGTATGGGATCATAAATGTAAGTAGAAAATTGATGTTTTTATTATTGAAGTTAATGACAAAGTCTAGTTTGTTGATTTTTATTTTGTCAGTCTTCGAATCACATATACCATGTGTACAGACTGTGGCAATGACAGACTCAGTTCGTGATTATTTTGGCTGTACTTTTCATCGTATTTTGGAGAGAATTGCAGAGCTTTTAACTTAGTGCAAGATGTGTATAAAGAATTATATACAGTGAGATGCATCATTTAAATTTTATCAAATACTTTCATATTAAATATTTGTAAAAATTTAAAGGAACAGTAATGACTCAGAGTAAGATTGATTTCTTCATAATTCAAGTACCTATAAATACCTACTTGTTTTTGGAAAGATAATACTAGTCTTTGCCATTTGAGCAGGGAGAAGCTTACAGAAGATAAAGCCTTTCAAGTGAAAGAGTGTAAAGAAAATAGTTGGGGTATTTTAAGAAGTGAAGAACCCTGCCCTGTGTGTGGAATTCAAGGTATTTAGAATAAACTACATGTAATACACTTTCAACTCTAAATTCTAATAGATCTGGTACTGTGAGAAAAAAAAATACAACATAATTCAATTTCAAGATATTTCAATATAAGAATGTATATATATATATATAAGAAAGTTTTACATAGGAATATATAGGAAAAATCTTTAAAAATCTTCTTCTCCAGAACCACTGGGCCAGGAAAGATGAAACTCACGTGGAGTCATCCTCAGGTAGTGTAGATTCAAGTTTGTTCAAATTATGACCCCCGGGACAAGGGTGGGGCCAAAATGGCCGACCCAAATTTTACATAGGAATATATAGGAAAAATCTTTAAAAATCTTCTTCTCCAGAACCACTGGGCCAGGAAAGATGAAACTCATGTGGAATCATCCTCAGGTAGTGTAGATTCAAGTTTGTTCAAATCATGACCCCCGGGGCAAGGGTGGGGCCAAAATGGCCGACCCAAGTTTTACATAGGAATATATAGGAAAAATCTTTAAAAATCTTCTTCTCCAGAACCACTGGGCCAGGAAAGATGAAACTCATGTGGAATCATCCTCAGGTAGTGTAGATTCAAGTTTGTTCAAATCATGACCCACGAGGCAAGGGTGGGTCCAAAATGGCCGACCCAAGTTTTACATAAGAATATATACGAAAAATCTTAAAAAATCTTCTTCTCCAGAACCACTGGGCCAGGAAAGATGAAACTCATGTGGAGTCATCCTCAGGTAGTGTAGATTCAAGTTTGTTCAAATCATGACCCCCGGGGCAAGGGTGGGGCCAAAGTGGCCGACCCAAGTTTTACATAGGATTATATAGGAAAAATCTTAAAAATTCTTCTTCTCCACAACCACTGGGCCAGGAAAGATGAAACTCATGTGGAATAATCCTCAGGTAGTGTAGATTCAAGTTTGTTCAAATCATGACCCACGAGGCAAGGGTGGGTCCAAAATGGCCTTCCCAAGTTTTACATAAGAATATATAGAAAAAATCTTAAAAAATCTTCTTCTCCACAACCACTGGGCCAGGAAAGATGAAACTCATGTGGAATCATCCTCAGGTAGTGTAGATTCAAGTTTATTCAAATCATGACCCCCGGGGCAAGGGTGAGGCCAAAATGGCCGACCCAAGTTTTACATAGGAATATATAGGAAATATCTTTAAAAATCCTTCTCCAGAACCATTGGGCCAGGAAAGATGAAACTCATGTGGAATCATCCTCAGGTAGTGTAGATTCAAGTTTGTTCAAATCATGACCCCCGGGGCTAGGGTGGGTCCAAAATGGCCTTCCCAAGTTTTACATAAGAATATATAGAAAAAATCTTAAAAAATCTTCTTCTCCACAATGGCCGACTCAAGTTTTACATAGGGATATATAGGGAAACCTTTTAAAATACTTCAAAGCTATGATTAGTGATATTTATATGGAATCATCCTCAGGTAGTGTAGATTCTAGTTTGTTCAAATGATGAACGCCTGGAGGGGAGGGGGGGTAAATTCAAGCCTGATGTGCTCAGGTGAGCGCTGTGGCCCCTGGGCCTCTTGTTCATAATGTTTTAAGATCGGGTTCATGCTGAACTAAATTCCGAAGGTCAACATGGTAAATATGGAGCAAGAAAAAGACGATTAAAGCAAGAGGCCCATAGGCCACATCGCTCACCTGAGCAATGTGGCTAGGAAAAAAGCAGAAATCAGTTTATTATTGAAAAGTTTAAACTTCCGAATAAAAATGATCATTCATGCCTTTGCTATTCTTGAGAAGAAGATTTTTAAAGAATTTCCTATATATTTCTATGTAAAACTTTTATTGGGCATTGTGGTGCCTACCTACCCCTGGGGGTCATGATTTAAACAAACCTGAATCTCAACTACCTGGGAATGCTTCCAAATAAATATAATCATTCATGCGTTTGCTATTCTTGAGAAAGATTTTTTTTAGAGTTTTCCTGTATATTTCTATGTAAAAAATTTGATCGGCCATTGTGGCCCTGTCCTTACCCCGGGGGTCAGGATTTGAACAAATTGAATCTACACTACCAGAGGATGCTTCCCTGTAAGTTTCATTTTTCGTGTCACAGTGGTTCTTGAGAAGAAGATTCTTAGAAAGTGCCACTAATTTTTTACTATTTCTAAATTATCTCCCCTTGAATAAGGGCGTGACCCGTCATTTGAACAAACTTGAATCCTCTTAACCTGAGAATACTTTGTGCCAAGTTTGGTTGAATCTGGCCCAGTGGTTCTTAAGAAGAAGATGAAAATGTGAAAAGTACTACGACAACGCCAACGACGACAACAACGACAGACAACGGACAAATTTTGATCAGAAAAGCTCACATGAGCCTTCGGCTCAGGTGAGTAAAAAGTTAAATTTTCTCTTTATGTGGATTATTTTTTTTAGGTTAACGGCATGCACAACCAAAAATTTTAATGTCAAGCAGTTTTTTCTTGGTCATAACTTTTGCATATAATAAAATAACATCCTAAAGAACAAGAGGCCCAGTGGCCACAGCGCTCACCTGAACACATCGGCTAGGAAAAAGCACATACCTGATCAGAACTAAAAGTTTACTGAGTTGGGGGAGGGGGGGGGAGCTTGAATTTTAACCCCCCAGGGGGTCATGATTTAAACAAACTAGACTCTACACTACCTGAGGATGATTCCATATAAATATCACTAATAATGGCTTTGAAGTACTTGAAAAGAAGATTTTAAAAGTTTTCCCTATATATATTCCTACGTAAAACATTAGTTGGCTATTTTGGCCCCATCCCAACCCCGGGGGTCATGATATGAACAAATCTTAATTTAAACTACCTGAAGATTATTTCACATGAGTTTCATCTTTCCTGTCTCAATGGTTCTTGAGAAGAAGATTTTTAAAGATTTTTCCTGTATATTCCTATGTAAAACTTTGATCTGCCATTTTGGCCCCACCCTACCCCCGGGGGTCATGGTTTGAACAAACTTGAATCTACACTACCTGAGGATGATTCCACATGAGTTTCATCTTTCCTGGCCCAGTGGTTCTTAAGAAGAAGATGTTTAAAGATTTTTCCTGTATATTCCTAACGTATGTAAAACTTTGGTCGACCATTTTGGCCCCACCCTAGCCCTGGGGGTCATTTATCATGAACAAATTTGAATCTACACTACCTGAGGATAATTTCACATGAGATTTATCTTTTCTGTCTCAATGGTTCTTGAGAAGAAGATTTTTAAAGATTTTTCCTGTATATTCCTATGTAAAACCTTGGTCGGCCATTTTGGCCCCACCCTAACCCCAGGGGTCATGATTTGAACAAACTTGAATCTACACTACCTGAGGATAATTTCACATGAGTTTCATCTTTCCTGGCCCAGTGGTTCTTGAGCAGAAGATTTTTAAAGATTTTTCCTATATACTCCTATGTAAAACTTTGGTCGGCCATTTTGGCCCCACCCTACCCCCAGGGGTCATGATTTGAACAAACTTGAATCTACACTACCTGAGGATGATTCCACATGAGCTTCATCTTTCCTGGCCTAGTGGTTCCTGAGAAGAAGATTTTTAAAATTTTCCTACATACTCCTATGTAAAAGTTTGGTCGGCCATTTTGGCCCCACCCTACCCCAAGGGGTCATGATTTGAACAAATTTGAATCCACACTACCTGAGGATGCTTCTACATGAGTTTCATATTTCCTGGCCCAGTGGTACTTGAGAAGAAGATTTTTTTTTAAATGCCATTAATTTTTCTCTAATCCATAATTATCTCCCCTTGGAAAAG